TTTTTTATTTTTTTTATTCAGCTTTTATTGAAGGATGACCATATGACAGAGGAAGAGAACTGCTCTGCTCCAGTACGTGACCCACAACTCTGATGAGGTGTGTTTATTATTGTTGTTGTTATTATTATTATTAGTAGTAGTTGTTGTTGTAGTAGTAGTGCATTTAATTGTAATTATTTAACTTAATCAAAATATAGAAATGAAACAGAGTGTGTGTCCTAATTTTTGAATGTATGCACTAGTGTAACATTGTGGGGACCAGAGGCATGTTAGAGAAGCTGTAAAATACACTTAGTCCTGAATACACACACAGTACGGTCTGACATAGTGGGGACCGGGACCCTTGAGTACTGCTGTCTAACTAATATATATTTTTTATTTTTTTTATTCAGCTTTTATTGAAGGATGACCATATGACAGAGGAAGAGAACTGCTCTGCTCCAGTACGTGACCCACAACTCTGATGAGGTGTGTTTATTATTGTTGTTGTTATTATTATTATTAGTAGTAGTTGTTGTTGTAGTAGTAGTGCATTTAATTGTAATTATTTAACTTAATCAAAATATAGAAATGAAACAGAGTGTGTGTCCTAATTTTTGAATGTATGCACTAGTGTAACATTGTGGGGACCAGAGGCATGTTAGAGAAACTGTAAAACACACTTAGTCCTGAATACACACACAGTACGGTCTGACATAGTGGGGACCGGAACCCTTGAGGACTGCTGTCTAACTAATATATATTTTTTTATATTCAGCTTATATTGAAGGATGACCATATGACAGAGGAAGAGAACTGCTCTGCTCCAGTACGTGACCCACAACTCTCTGATGAGGTGTGTTTAATGTTGTTGTTATTATTTTTATTAGTAGTTGTAGTAGTAGTTGTTGTTGTTGTAGTTGTAGTGCATTTAATTGTAATTATTTAACTTAATCAAAATATAGAAATGAAACAGAGTGTGTGTCCTAATTTATGAACGTATGCACTAGTGTTACATTGTGGGGACCAGAGGCATGTTAGAGAAGCTGTGAAACACACTTAGTCCTGAATACACACACAGTAAGGTCTGACGTAGTGGGGACCGGGACCCTTGAGTACTACTGTCTAACTAATATATATATATATACATTTTATTTTTTTCAGCTTTTATTGAAGGATGACCATATGACGGAGGAAGAGAACTGCTCTGCTCCAGTACGTGACCCACAACTCTGATGAGGTGTGTTTATAATAATAATAATAATAACAATTATTATTATTATTAGTAGTAGTAGTAATAGTAGTTGTTGTTGTAGTAGTGGTGTATTTAATTGTAATTATTTAACTTAATCAAAATATAGAAATGAAACAGAGTGTGTGTCCTAATTGGTGAACATATGCACTGACATTGTGGGGACCAGAGGCATGTTAGAGAAGCTGTTAAACACACTTAGTCCTCAATACACACACAGTAAGGCCTGACATAGTGGAGACCGCGAACCTTGAGTACTGCTGTCTATGTCTGATAATATTTTTTTCTTCTGGAAAAAGTCTTATTTGTTTTATTTTGACTAGAATAAAAACAGTTTAAATTTTTTTAAACACCATTTAAGGGACAAAATTATTAGCCTCTTTAAGCTATATTTTTTTCTCGATAATCTACAGAACAAACCATCATTATACAATAACTTGCCTAATTACCCTAACCTGCCTAGTTAACCTAATTACCCTAGTTAAGCCTTTAAATTTCACTTTAAGCTGTATAGAAGTGTCTTAAAGAATATCTAGTCTAATATTATTTACTGTCGTCATGGCAAAGATTAAATAAGTCCATTATTAGAAATGATTATTAGAAATAGTTATTAAAACTATTATGTTTAGAAATGTGTTGAAAAAAATCTTCTCTCCGTTAAACAGAAATTGGGGAAATAATAAACAAGCTGTCTAAAAATTCAGGGGGGCTAATAATTCTGACTTCAACTGTATATAAAGAGTTTCATTGCAGAACGAGATATATCCATTTAAAAAAATGTTGGTTATTTTGACATTATTTTTCATGACATTAACAGTCAAGTTCATTCACAATTTTTGTACATTAAACTATAACTTGAGCTCAGTGAAGGCCAGGAACACAATATTTTCAAATCCAGGATATTTTTTATTTAATTTTATGTCTATAATTAAGTAAAAAAACATGCCAAAATGCTACATATTAATCCAACCCACATTGTCAAACATCTTAAATTGGTTAAAAAAAAACTATACACCATAAATATATGGAATAATATATGCAAAGATTGATTAATAATAATAAGATTCTAAGTTAGATTTGGCCAGAATGTACACAACATAACATAACTTTATTATTATTATTTTTTTTGCAAAACGCTACATCCACCTTAGGCTATATTATACTACATTAATACCATTACCAAAAGCTAGTGAATCAATGTTTTGTTTGATAAGTAAGATTAAGTTAGTTAGATAAATGACCTTTAGCTTGGTACAGAAAGAGTGGAGGGCGGCTCCTTCCACACCGCTGCAGAAAACCAAACCTGTATGATTAGAGCGGGCGGAGCTAAGTCTGTGACACAAACTTGCCTCGCTATGTCATATTTAATGAATTATTTCACTGTAATAATAATGATAGCTTATTTATTTGGTTGTGAAAAAGCTAAACCGTTTTCTCCATAACAACATGTGCCCTTTAAGTTCCTTTGTAATAAATCAACAACAACAAGAATTAATTATAAATAATAGGTGCAACCGCATAAATAAATCTTCAGATAGGCTACTCAGCTACATGTAAGAAATTATTTAAAAAATAAACTTATAAAGGACACTTGGAAATGTCGCCTTGCAGACAGGTATCTTGTGATGGGGAGTAGGAAAAAAGGCGCTCCTAGGCCTTCTCTTGACATCAGCGGAGACTCGTTCCCTGCTGCATTTGTGTATTGTTGACGCAGAAGTATCTTATTCTGGTCCACTTTTGTGGCCTTTTTATAAATTTTTGTGAAGTTGAAGACTTCATCTTCCATCGCTAAATCAATGAGCAAACTCTGAGCACTTCACTGGCGATGACCCTCTTCCCAGGGGATGCTGAGCTCGCGCCGCATCCTGAACGTTCTCTAACTGTTATATCGCACTTTGTAAAGAAACTGGTCTGACGGAAATTGCGTTTTGTGAAAAAAAAATACGTTTTGTACTTGGCCTAAAATGTGCATTCTTAAATGTTATTAATGGCAGCAATTCACACATAGATTAAGGTACATCTGAACAGTGATTTCCAATAATAAAATCCAAATGTCAAAAAATGCCGTTTATCGCATTTTGCAACCTAACTCTTCATATGTATGTGTGTGTTATGAATGTATGGCTGCAGAAGAGAACTGCTCTGTTCCCACAACTCAGTTTTTCTGGGACTTGAAAACAGACGCTCGGCAGATTTTAAAGGGTGGAATCTTGATCAAATCGTGGGTTTACACAAAAACATGTAATACAGTGCAAGATTTTCTGGATGTTATATACACATTTGTATTTGCAAACATATACCATATTGTTTTAAATGATGTATTTTTGTGTGGGTTTTTACATTCAGAGAAAGTTACAGTGGATCGTGATTTTGGAGGAGGTGAAGTCCAGTCTAAAAGGTAAAAATATTATTTATTTTTCTGATCAGAATTTTTCTTTTTTCAGAATGTTTATTTTTATCATGATATGTATGTGCTATGTTTGAAAACTATTTTTAAGCTACCATCACACGATTTTACCCATTAAAAAGAACAACACAAAATCAAATAAATATTTTGGTAAGCTTTCTGCAGAGAAGTCAACTCTCAGACTTGATTTTTACTTTCAGAGTCCCCTCAAGTATCATCACCATGGTACAGTGTCTGTGAAGATAGTGATGCAGACCCAGCATTCACAAAAAAGAGAGGTATGATCATTAAAGTTAATTTGTGACTGACTTGTGTTATTGTACAATTCCAAATGCACAAGCTCATTTACATAACATGTAGGGTATAACAGGACAGAAGCACATTACTTCTATGATGATTTCAGTACAGTTGCACTTGATGTCTCATTTCATGTTAGTTAAACAATATTGCTAAATACTTTGGAAAAATATACTAATTGCATATCTGGTTACACTTTATTTTGATAATCTACTACTACTACTAACTACAAGTAACTGCAACTACTTGTCAACTAACAGCCATTAGACTGTCTGTTAGAATCAACACTGCTAATGCTCTACTAAATTTATATAAGAGTTAGTCATATTGTACTAATTTTGAGCGTAACCTAACAGTCTGCTGTACTATTTACTGAGACCAATGAGAGTCAGTTTTATTGAGGTAACCTTAACTGTCAGCTAATACTCTACACTCTAAAATTAATAAAAATAAGTAATAATAATTAAATTAGCAGTTTTTCATAATTTGTGATTCATGTTTTTATGAAATCTGTTTGTTTCTGCTTTTGAATTGCATTATGGGATCTTGATCTTTCTTCCAACAACTTTTAATCTTAAAAAGTAAAAAAAAGTGACTTTTTGTTTGGGTTGTTGTTGTATATTATTATGTATATTATTATGCAAATACTCTAATACATAATACTTTATGGTGAGATAATTAACATAGTTGCAGAGTTACACATAGTTAGAAGAATGTCTAAACTGGACTATGGAATAAAGTGTAACCCCATTAACCAGTTTTGAATTTAATAGTAAGTATTTTTTAATCCATCTCCATCTTAAGTATTTTTAATAATAGGCAAGACATATTTTTCTAGCATTTTTTATCACAATATTAAACTAACATAACAGCACATGTTGTAAAAATGACTGAACATTTATGCAACTAAAACCACTTTTTTATATTTTAACCACCCATAGGTCCCATAAAGAGAAGATCCTGGAGCAAACAGGAAGTACATGCTGTGGTGAAAGCTGAACCATTGGCTCTAAAATCCAGAGATTGGTCAGCTTTGGATTTTTATATTAAAAACTGAATCTCGACTCTGAATAACACTTTTATAGTAACTGCACACTATACATCATTAGTTTAGCACTAACTCTACATTAATAGACTTTAGGAAGCAGTTTATAAATACAGCTTCAAACGCTGTATTCTTGACTTGACTTAATTGTATTTTCATGCTTTGTTACTGATTCATTTTTCATTACTATATTATGTATTGCATTATTTACAAACTATTTGTATATAAGAGTAGTTGGTGGTTTTTAAGATAATTCAGAATGAGTTATTAAATGATTAATAAACTATTCAAATGAACATTTATACATGTTATATTCAGGCATATAGTAATTGTAACCATGTGTGTTAGTAAATGCTATAATAACACAACTTCATGCAGTTTTGTGACCTAAGGACTGTTTATAGTTGATAAATCCCTTATAAATGACAATTTAGGGCTCAGTATCTAATGAACAATAAATCTTTGCAATCTTATTAAAAAAAAATTCTGTAAAGTCTAAACATTGCAAAATAAAAATACAACATCATTTCAAAACAACATAATTAACAACATGACAATATTCATTTCAGTGTTTCTGTGATGTTTGCACTGTACAGTAATTTTATATTTTGATAAGATTGCAAAGATTTATTTTTCATTAGATAGTTTCATTTGTGTATCTTGAAATTAATGAAAAAAAAAAAAATATATATATATATATATCTTCTTTGGCCTTAGTCCTGTATGATTGCAGGGTCGGCTCTTTTTGGAACAAGTCCTTCAGTTTTAGACTTGTCCATATGATAACGACTTTTTTACACCTTCCGGCCAGCCTGTCATATGGGCCTGTCACACTCATACACTACGGACAATTTAGCCTTCCCAATTCACCTGTAGCATGTCTTTGGACTGTGCCTTTGCACCCGGAGGAAACCCACACGAATGCAGGGAGAACATGCAAACTTCTCACAGAAATGCCAACTGAGCCGAGGTTCAGACCAGTGACCCAGCGACCTTCTTGCTGTGAGGCGACAGCACTACCTACCGCGCCAATCACTCCCCCTTTTAATTTATTTATTTTTTCTGTTTAGAATATAGCTGAGATTTTAATTGTCATTTATAAGGGATTTATAAAGCATCAATAGTCCTCACTTTAGATTAGCTCACAAAACTGCATGAAGTTGAGTTCATAAAGCATTTATTATCAGACAGAGTAACCATTACTATATGCCTGATTAATAAAGATATATAAATGTTGGGTAACACTATAATAACTGCACACAATTAATTATTTATGAAACATTAGCAAATAGTTAGTTGAACGTTTGATAAGCATTAACGCTACATTAATAGACATTAATAAGCAGTTTATAAATTATATTTATAAATATAAATTACAAATATTATTGACTTATAAGCACAATTATAATGTGCTTAATGATTGTTTTCATACTTGGTAAATAATGCAATACTTAATTTAGTAATGAAAAATACATCATTAACAAACCAGATATTTAAAAGTAGTTGGTGTTTTTTTTTTAGATAATTCAGAATGTGCAAGTAAATGATTAATAAACTATTCAAAATAACATTGATAATTCTTAATATTCAGGCATATAATAAGTTGTTTAGTATGTTAATAAATGCTTTATGAACTCAACTTCATGCAGTTTTGTGATCTAAAGCGAGGGCTATTCATGCTTTATAAATCCATTATAGATGACAATATAAGGCTCAGTTACATTATATACAGGGAAAAAATGACTATTAATTTCTACTTATTACAAGATGCTCAAATGAAACTGTATCAAATGAAAAGTAAATCATTGCAATCTTGTCTAAATATAAAATTGCTTTACACGTAATGTATTGTTAAATTATTATATTGTTGTTTTATCAAATGATGTTGTATTTCGACACTCCTGTTATTCAGCAATGTTTAAAATTTACAGTAATTGTATTTGTTTAGGTACGATTGCAAATACTTATTGTTTATTTGATACTGAGCCTAGCAACGCAGTGGCACAGTAGGTAGTGCTGTCATCTCACAGCAAGAAGGTCGCTGGTTCGAGCCCTGGCTGGGTCAGTTGGAATTTCTGTGTAAAGTTTGCATGTTCTCCCTGTGTTAGTGTGGGTTTCCTCCAGGTCCTCCTACATGCGGTACAGGTGAATTGGGTAGCCTAAAATAGTCCGTAGTAAATGAGCGTGAATGAGTGTGTATGTGTATGGATGTGTCCCAGGGATGGGTTTCAGCTGGAAGGGCATCTGCTGCATAAAAACGTGCTGGATAAGTTGGTGGTTCAATCCGCTGTTGCGACCCCGGATTAATAAAGAGAGAAAACCAAAATGAAAATAAATGAATGATTCTGAGCCTTTAATTGTCATTTATAAGGGATTTATAAAGCATCAATATTCCTCACTTTAGATTAGATCACAAAACTGCATGAAGTTGAGTTAATAAAGCATTATTTAACATGCAGAAAAAACGTATTATATGCAGGGCTCCAAACCGGTTCAAGGAACGGAAACGAAAAACAGAATCAAATGACATTTTTCAGGAACAGAAACGAAAACCGAAAAAAAAAGATCAACTTTAATCGTTCTGAACAGAAATGTTTACAGTTAAACGGTTAATAATGTTATTTTATCATTCTCTTTATTATATGAATTTGGGAGACAAAAAGCATTCATTTAAAGCATGTGAACAAATGCGACGGTGACGCTCGTTTTTATATAAACTATAAATGTCTGGCCGTGATGCGTATTTAGGCCTATGCCAGTCTATAAAAAGATAATGTAGCTTAAAACACTTTAAAATTTTAGAGAACGTAATAAAGTTTGCACAACCAATGTTTGGTCTTAATAACCTGCCCATAATTAAACGTCATGTAGCCTACTTTTTGATTACTTGACCAGCGGATTAATGGCAGCACCAGCGGATAAACGAGATCTGAGCATAATAGGTATGACCAATATGTGCATAACCAATATGCAAAGTCAAGAGAGTGCACGACTGTCTAAAAAAGGGTAACGTAGCCTAAACTGCGCACACTTGATTATGTAATGTGTGAAATCGTGGACGCATCTCAAAGAGCAAAGCATAACTTATTAAATGCCCATGCTTAATCGGTCATCGATAAGGTCTATTGGTTTTAAAGGGTTACCGACAATAAATCAATCGAGTAATCGTTAGCATCCCTAGTTTAATCAATGAATGTGTTAAATTTAATATTTATATTAAAGATGAATAAGGCAAGAATATGATAATGATACTTTTTAGATTTTTACACCTACAAAAATATCTTGTGGTAGTGCATTTGTTTAATAAAAATCTTTGTAAATAGGTTATCTGTAAAAAACGCAATCAGAGCCAATGACATGTAGAAGTAGTGTTGCCTAAACGGCTATTAAATTTCTAATAAAATTAAAACCAAAGTATAACTCATTGCATTTTTCGTTTGATAAAAATATACAGAAACGAGATAAAATCATAAGGATGCTAGTTTGTAATTTATGTTAATAATAATAAAATGACATGCTTAGACTATAAGCTTAACGGCTATACGCTGCCAATAGGCCATTAATAAATATTATTTTACTTTGTACTGGATTATAATGTATATTTTACAATAAAAACTAAATATAGCATGTCTTACTGTCATTTAAAACAAGTAATTCAAAATACACATCAGAACTGTAGACCTGCAGTGGGTACACTAAATACAGGGGGTGTTGGTCAATCAATAGCCTACAGCACATAATTGAACTAATTATGATGCTAACTGTAATTTAGCTCTTAATATAGGCCTACGATATATTTTCTGGTGTTTAATTTTGCATGGGCAAATAGCAGTATAGCCTAAAGTAAATTTTTTAAAAAGATTATCATTTACCCTACCTGCAGCACATGTGAGAGGTGGATCTGCAGCAAATTCACTTACACACTAGGCTATATCTATTTAATTTATAACCATGTAAACTTGACTTCGCAGGCCGTTCATCTTTAAACGCAAAAGGCATTTTTAAGTGTCCTAACTTGACTGCTGCTGCATAATGGGATGTTTCTTTACAAAACTGTAAAAGTGCACTTTAGCATGTCAAAATGAAAGCAAACGTTCAAAAGAGTTCTGTGTTTTGTCAATTTTACTAATATTAATAATAATGGATATAATAAATTTAAATAATAATTGCACTGTGCAGTGTACTAAATATTTTTATTAGGCTACATAACTGAAAAACTATTTCATAACAATTTTTATAATTTTTATTGCTATTTCATATTATACAACATCTAAATGTAGCGCCGGGCCTGCGCTCGATACCAAGGAGTGGGGCTGTGTGTAGCACCTTTAAACAGCGTGTCAATCAATAACCAAAAGCAAGTTCATATTATAAATATATCTTTAATGATACTTATTGAAAATTCATTTAATCTTACCCCTCGTATAGATTTTTTTAGTTGCACCATTAAAAAAACAGAGCACTCTAGAGCCCTGCAATACTTTGTAATTAAATAAAGTTTTTTTGTTTTGTTTTTCTAGAAAACTTTTTTCGGAATATTTTGTCTATTAAGGAACGCAAGAACAGAACCGAAAAAATATAAATTCTGCTCAGAGTGAACCGATTGGATTTTATTTTTTTTAATTTTTTTTAGCCCTGATTATATGCCTGAATAGTAAATGTATAAATTTTCATTTATATAGTTTTTTAATCATTTATTTACTCATTCTTAATGATCTTAAAAAACACCAATTATTCTTAGACAGTTTGTAAATAATGCAATACTTCATTTAGTTATGAAAAATGAATTATAAACAAAGTATGAAAACACAAAAATTGAGCACATAACACATGCTTATAAGTCAACAATAGAGCATCTAGCTGTGTTTATAAACTGCTTACTATTAATGTAGAGTTAATGCTTAACAAATGATGTCTATTTGGAGTTTTGGTGGCTTGGTTATATGATGAAGGTCTCTGTGCATTTGTGGGGTTCAGTTCTTTATAAATATATTTTTAAATATTTTTAATGTTTTTTTTTTTTCAAATAGTTAAAATACGACAGAAACAGAAATAGAACATACTGGTGGGTTTTAAGAGTTTACCCAAATGTACATTATATTATTAATTACTTGCCCTCATCTCACTCTAACCCCCTGAGACCTTCATTCATCTTCAGACTCAAAGGAAGATAACTTAGATGAAGTGCAAGAACTCCTCATCCTCCATAGACAGCAAGGGATTGAAACAATATGAAGGAGAGGAATTAATAACAGAATCTTCATTTTGGGGTGAACTAACCGTTTAATATTGTTTGCTATTGCACTTAACTAAATGTGTATGCAGACATGGAAGAGTTATGTGGAAGCTTGTTATACCCAATGAGAACTGCTTTTAGACATGCAAGAGAGTTTAATAGATTTTGTGTTTACTGTTTTTTTGTGTTTAAAGGTTTTGTGGAAATTATTTATAATAAATATAACATTTATTAAATCTATTCTGGACCATTTCCTGATTGGATCTTGAGGTTCCTTCTGTATTCAAATTACATTTTTTATAAACTGACCTGCTCTTCAAATGAAAATTCTAAAGCAGTTTACTGTCAAATTACTTGATTGAGGTTTAAAATTTAATATTAGTAAGGGTGCTGATCTGATCCCCACGTTGCCTAAAAACCGGTAATGTGTGTGTAGACCTGGTCCTTACTTTGACTAAAAAACGGTAATGTGTGTGTAGACCTGGTCCTTACTTTGACTCAATACCGGTAATGTGTGTGTAGATCTGGTCCTTACTTTGACTCAATACCGGTAATGTGTGTGTAGACCTGGTCCCTACTTTGACTCAATACCGGTAATGTGTGTGTAGACCTGGTCCTTACTTTGACTCAATACCAGTAATGTGTGTGTAGATCTGGTCCTTACTTTGACTCAATACCAGTAATGTGTGTGTAGATCTGGTCCTTACTTTGACTCAATACCGGTAATGTGTGTGTAGATCTGGTCCTTACTTTGACTCAATACCGGTAATGTGTGTGTAGATCTGGTCCTTACTTTGACTCAATACCGGTAATGTGTGTGTAGACCTGGTCCTTACTTTGACTCAATACCGGTAATGTGTGTGTAGATCTGGTCCTTACTTTGACTCAATACCAGTAATGTGTGTGTAGATCTGGTCCTTACTTTGACTCAATACCGGTAATGTGTGTGTAGATCTGGTCCTTACTTTGACTCAATACCGGTAATGTGTGTGTAGATCTGGTCCTTACTTTGACTCAATACCGGTAATGTGTGTGTAGACCTGGTCCTTACTTTGACTCAATACCGGTAATGTGTGTGTAGATCTGGTCCTTACTTTGACTCAATACCGGTAATGTGTGTGTAGATCTGGTCCTTACTTTGACTCAATACCAGTAATGTGTGTGTAGACCTGGTCCTTACTTTGACTCAATACCGGTAATGTGTGTGTAGATCTGGTCCTTACTTTGACTCAATACCGGTAATGTGTGTGTAGACCTGGTCCCTACTTTGACTCAATACTGGTGATGTGTATCTGGAACTGGTCCTTACTTTGTCTCAAAACCAGTAAAGTGTGTTTAGAATTGGTCCCCACTTTGTCTAAAAATCGGTTGTGTATGTGGCGGACCCCACTTCTACACAAAACCTGAAATGTCCCCACAAGTGACCACTGTGTCAGGTCTAAAAAAAAATTTGCGGAATATCCAAAATCTGAAGTGATTTTATGAAATAGTTTGTGTTTTTGTGTGGCAAACTATTTTTTTTTATGTCTCTAACATCATCAGAAAGGGCGGTCCCCATTATGTAACCACCGTGACAGGTGACCCCCACAATGCACAAAAACAAGTATGTGTGTGTGTGTGTGTGTGTGTGTGTGTGTGTGTGTGTGTGTGTTTTCGAATTTTTAGACAATTTTACTAGTAAAAAATTCATGAACTAATGACTCTTGAGTTGGTTCATTTAAATGAATCAACCCAATGAACTGGCAACTAACTGAAATATTCTGGATTTCTAAAATTTATAATGCGTTATAGAAATGCTTTGAAACTATTTTCAAAATTTATGAAAACAAAATTATATGAATATTTGTTAATAATAATAATGATAAAAACCTCCAAGCAAATCACTAAATGTAAAGAAAAAAGTTAGGGTGCTTTCACACCTACACTTTTGTTTCGTAACCTGTCTCGTTTGCCCAGTTAGCGCGGTTCCTTTGGCATATGTGAAACCACCAGTCCTGCTCGGATGCGCGCCAAATCAATAGCTCTGAGATCGCTTGAATGAGGTGGTCTCGGCTTGATTAAAACGAACTCTGGAGCGGATCGATTGCAGTGAGAAAGCAAACGATCCGAGCCCGGTTATATCAGTGTTTTATGGATATGTAATCATTCTTTTATCACATTTTACCTGTTTTTGTGTTTTGTTTTACTCATTTTTATTATTTGTTTTTATTTTTTATTTTTATTTTACTTGTTTCTTTTATTCTTGTTTATGTAAAGCACTTTGAATTGCCACTGTGTATGAAATGTGCTATATAAATAAACTTGCCTTGCCTAATAGGCATACGGCTATATGAAGAGAGAATTATGAGTAGAGTGGGAGGTCATTCAACAGACATCCCAAGTCTCCCTGAAGTTTCGGTAGTCTCCCGCAAATTGAGACACTACAGGATGCCCGCAAACGAGTGATAATCTTCCGGTAATCACGCATCTCCCTCCCGGTCCTCACATTCGTCGTGCACCCTTCTCACCCCTCCCCACTGCATCCCTCCTCGCTCTTCAAACACGTCGCGCGCACCTTGTCAAACACCACCAAACCTCCCCCTGACAGCTGAGCGGGACTCTGCTTAATAAACGTGAAACTCTGACCAATGTGAGGAGAGTTTACTTGCACGTGACTTGTTTTAGCTCTTTTGGTTCGTTTAGAAACTTTGCAGTGTGAAAGTGAACCGCTCCAAGAGCCAACAGCAACAATGTAATAATTTTAATCCCTGTTTCGAAACAACTGAATCCATTCACAGGTGTGAAAGCACCCTTAGATAATTAGCAAATGGTTGGTGCCCATGGTAGTATTAATTTGGTGTTTGTGTATGTGTTAGACAATTTTACCAATAAAAAAGATTATTATCAAAAATAATTCATGATAAATGTATTACTTATGATAGTTTATTATTACATTTATTAATAATACGTTATTTAAAAAATAAATATGTTGTTTTATTGATCTTTAGCTTTTTTTTCGTTTGTCATTTTAGCAACGTTAATAATTATTAATCTGCATATGATTGGTGCTCATGGCTGCATTATTTTGTTATTTGGTGGTAATATATTTTAAATTAACTTTATTATTTTTCAAGTTCTAATTATAATTTTAGACAATATTATGTATTGTCATACTTAGTGATCTTTAGGTTTTATTTCAATTTATAGTTCAGTTTTAGTTTTTATTTTACCAGTGAATCTGATTAAATAATTTAATAATATATGGAGATAATACTAAAATAAATCTGAAACGGACTTAAATTTAAATCATAAAGTTTTTTTAAATAATCTTCACGACAGCAAGCATATTTATTTCACCTCTCAGTCACCTATCTCCATAATATTCAGACATGACTGCTAGGCATGGGCTGGTTTAAGATTGTGACGGTATGATAACATTGGATAAGAATATCACGGATTGATGGTATTGTGATTTACTGCTTTAAAATATGTTCCTTTTATATGTCTGGTAAAAAACAACAACTTTTTCTCCATTGAATACAGTATATATTTAATTTAAAGAAACATTTAAAGTACTTTGGCACAGTAAACATGTCAGGCTAAATAATTAAAATAAATCATTAACTTCTGCTGTCTTCATTAGTTTCGAAAGCACAGCATTTTTTTTTTTTTGCTATATAAATTGAGATATGAAGACATTTCCGTCAAATGACTTAATGACGTTTTGATTAGAATGATTTTGAGGGGGAGAGCATAAATATGTAATAAATTACAAGCGTATATAAATACAACAGAAACATATGAAATAAAACAATGCTTTATGATTTTCAGGGTAGTCAAATGGTATTTGAGTACAGAAAAGTAATTATCAATAGTAAAATACCACCATAGTCTTCATCATTTAAATAATTCAAAAAAATTCATGTTATCGAAGCTGCAAAGAGTACAATTTCTTGTGCCCGGATACTTGAAACTTGCTTGAAATACTCAAACAGGCCTTAAAAACAAATGGAAATGATGAAAGTCCACTCTGTTATGGATCAACCTTGCAATAACTTCACAAATCACATGTTCTGAACTGTCGTGCCTGATGGTCTATTAGTCCTGGACATTGTAGATCCTGCGATGTGACTATTGTAGATGCACACATTACAATATCAATGCCAAAACGATATATTGTGCAGCCCTGGCCTTGACTTTTCCAAACCACGGCAAACTTTAAAATGGTTATCATCCGATGCCTAATGACTGCCCGATCTTCAGATCTGATCTCCTCGAGCCATTTGAGATGTGTTTTGTTGTGCAGCTGTTTAAGTTATTGTGTCCTGCGGCTGAACATCAGCTCTCTGTGAATGGATCACCTGAGGTGGCCTCTCGCGCTGCCCTTTATTCAGACGCAGACCTGTTTTGTTGGTAAATCAAATAAAGTTGTGTCGTTGCGCAGAGTAATTCAATGCTCAGGGAATGCCTGGAGCCGCTGGAGGACACAGACAGCGCTGAACACTGTATATATACTGTATATGTGCTGTTCGGCTGCCTGTGTCTGCTGGTGTGAAAAGGTCAGTGCTTCTGTAATTGGGCTCTTAATGTGTCGCCCTTTCTGCTGCTATGATCCTGCACACTTCTTTTATTCGTTCGCCATCCCTTCATACTCGCCAGTCATGTTCTCCTGTTGTTCATTCATTCATTCATTTTCTTGTCGGCTTAGTCCCTTTTTTAATCCGGGGTTGCCACAGCGGATTGAACCGCTAACTTATCCAGCAAGTTTTTTCGCAGCGGATGCCCTTCCAGCCGCAACCCATCTCTGGCAAACATCCACACACACATTCACACACACACTCATACACTACGGACAATTTAGCCTACCCAATTCACCTGTAGCGCATGTCTTTGGACTGTGGGGGAAACCGGAGCATCCGGAGGAAACCCACACGAAGGCAGGGAGAACATGCAAACTCCACACAGAAACACCAACTGAGCCGAGGTTCGGCCCAGCGACCTTCTTGCTGTGAGGCGACAGCACTACTACTGCGCCACTCCTGTTGTTTTCCACTTTTTTTTTTTTTTTTTTTTTTAAGTACAAATGAAATCAAAACAAACCTAATGATTTTGTTGAGTTTTATGGTGATCAATTCGACTGTGTCAATGAGAAAGACAAAAAGTTTGCCTTTGGAATGTAAATTAAAATCTGAAAATGCACCTCCTGTTT